CCCAATTTTAATAAATATGAGATTTGATTTTGATTGTAAAGGAATTTAGAATTACCCAAAGAATCTGAGTATAAGCTTTGCAAGATAGCCAAGAACAGTCATACTTGTTTCACTGTAAAAAGTCAAAAAAAAATCATATAAACCAAAAGTCGAATCTGAATTAAGCAGAAATACCAACCAACAACTTTGAGGTTACCCTTTTCAAGCTTTTCTGATAAATGATACACATTCATTCGTTCCTAATTCACCAATTCTAATTCGATATCCCTTGCCTGATTAGTGATTAGCAATCAATTAACAGAGAGGGTAAAAGTACTAAAACCCTTACCTGAATTCTGATAAAGTCGCTAATGTTGAATTGATGATGATCAATTGAAAATCGCTTCTGCCTTCTGCCGCGTTCTTGGCTTGTGATGCGTGCTCTGCTTCTTGGATTCTCAGTACGTACGTCTCCCGTTTGCTTGCTGGTCAATGATTTGTACTTAGACACTAGGTCTGAATCGTTTGATTTCAATACAGTATAAGAAAAAATTGGGCCCCATCAAAAAATGGGCCCTGTTCCTATGCCCAGTTTGCACATGCCCATCACCGGGCCTGCATGGCAGTCACGACTACAAAAGTGTGTTACCTTGTCCACCACTGAGGCTGAGTATATGGCAGCAACAGAAGCATGCAAAGAGTTATTGTGGCTAAAAAGATTTATGCAAGAGCTTGGATTTATACAAAAACGCTACGTGGTTCTTTGTGATAATCAAAGTGTCATTCACCTTGCTAAGAATTCTATGTTTCACAAAAGAACAAAACATATCGATGTGAGGTATCATTGGATTAGAGATGCTCTTGAAGACAACTTGTTTGAACTTGAGAAAGTTCATACCGATGATAATGGTTCCGATATGTTGACTAAAGCTTTAGCAAGGGAGAAGTTGAAGATATGTTGCTCAATCGTCGGGATGGCGAACTCTTCCTCATAGGCCAAAAAGGGGGAGATTTGTTGGGTTTTCTCTTGGGTTTTTTCCATGAGGAAAGCCCACTTCTTTAGCCCATGTATATATATATATATATATATATATATATATATATATATATATATATATATATATATATATATATGTGTGTGTGTGTGTGTGTGTGTGTGTTACATGCCCTAATTTCAACAAGACACAATACTTTTCAGCCACCAAGAGAGTTAGAAAGAGTAAGAAGCAAAAGAGGGTTTTTTCTCAATTCCCGTTTTTGAAGATACATGTGCATTGTTTGGTAATTTTCTGGAGATCCAACGGTCCGTTTTCTCTCATTTTTGGACAGAAGCTTCCCAACATCTAGGCCTTCAGATCCAACGGTTGAATTGTCGAGATCAGCTCCAGAGACTCGGGAATCGTCGCTTCTGTTTGCTGCTGGAAATCAGGAACGTTTTTGGTGATATTCTTCTTTGTCTTTGCTTATTTGATTCCATATGCTTGATGTGATTTAGTTCCAAGTATATGATGATTATTGTATGCCTCTAGTACATCTAGAGAAGACTTTGTATTGCTCTAATATCGGTGATAGTGGATTTGAAGCGGCTCTAGTAGTCCCGTAGTTTTACTCTCCTTTCTTGAGAGGTTTCCACGCTAAAATTCTGGTGTCTTTATTGGTTGATTACTTATTGTTTTGCGTTGATTATATTGATCATATAACTTGCATTGGGGCTGATTTGTTGCAAGTGAAATTATCCTATTTGTTTGCATCCTAAAAGGTTCATTCAAGACGGGAATAGTTTAGTCCAACGAAGTATTATTTCGCATTGTTATTTACCGTTGTGGCTGCGTTTTTCCCATCACATGTTTCGATTATATGTGGGAACCGTAATGTGTGGATTAATTTTCTTGAATACCATCTAAGTTGCACGGAAACGGATACGGCAACGGGAAACGGGAAACGGCAAAATTCAAAAATTCAAGATACGGATACGACATAGATACGGCAATATAAAAATATGAAAAAACATATATATATATATATATATATATATATATATATATATATATATATATATATTAAAGAAATTCCAAAATATGTGTGGTGAATGTGTGAATGAGTTTAGAATTTATTTTTCCTGTTCTTGTCTTCTTGATCGACGACACAAGAGGCAGTAAAACTATAAAAATCAATCAGCAAAGAAAACAGTATGTAGCAGCGATCGGTGAAGCAATTACCCTTGTAAACTTCTAATCGACTAATTGTAGGGTAATAACTAATAGCAACCGATATAAGACTAAGCTCATTACTCTATCAATGCGTATTAAAAGCCCATGATGTCATGCAAAAGAAAAAAAAAAGGAAACGTGAGCGAAACTTGCGAGGAACGTTTTTGGGATTGTCGATACTTGCCGGAAACGTTTCCCGGCCGTTTCACTGGCGTTTCCGTTTCCTGGGCGTTTCAGATACGGGAGCGGCTACTAGTTGGGCGTTTCCATGCATCGTTGAATACCGTGCAATTGTTAAGAGAATGGCCTTTGATATGACACCATTGGCATTTACCAAGAAAAGGGCGAGAGTATGTGGTTGGAGTTGGAAGAATTCCAGTTCCTTGATGAATCTGTGAATTATTCTTTGTCTGTTGTTTGTTGTTCCAGGATTTGTTGGATGGTTTCTGATGTGCCAAAAACACAGTTGCCGGTTGATGAACAGAAGAAGCAGCCACAATTTGAGCCAATGATAACTCGTGATTTATGAGTTTTTCATGAAGCTCATTAAAGGGTATGGGAGTGTCACGTGCACAGATTGCATCAAGGATCGACTTATAAGTTGTTTGATCGAGGCCTGCTAGAACGGTATCTGTGACATCTTCTGGATCCAATTTCTTCCCCAAAATTGCCAGTTCATCAACAATGGTTTTGATTTGTTGCATATAATCAGTAATGGACTGGTTGGAGCCTTTGTTGCATTGCTTTAGACGATGTTGCAACTGTTTGATATGTCCTCTCGATGGCGAAGCGTAAGTATTACCCAAAATCTTCCAGGCTTCAAAAGATGATGTGGCATTGGTGACCAAAGGAATGATCGGTGGTGATAGGCTGCCAACTAAAGCTCCAAATAACAATTTGTCTTGGCGGAACCAGTGTGAGAAATCCTTGTGTGGAATGACAGATCCATCTGCTGTAGTGGTTGATGGAGACGCAAGATGAGTGCCATCAATGAATTTGTACAGATCGAGGCCATGAAGAAGAGCCTCTACCTGTGTTTTCCAACCCAAATAATTGGTGGAGGTAAGTTTCAAGGTAGCAGGAAAAGAAACGAGAATTATGTTATTGCCGGTAGGATTAACATTGATCAGAGTAGATGAAGAAGAATTTGAGTTTTCTTGTGTAATGGTCATGATTCAAGAAATAGAAGAGATGAGTAGATTGGGAAGCAAAAGTATTAGAGAGGTCGATGATGCTTTGATACCATATGAAAGTATAAACCTTGTTATTTACCGAAGAGAATAATGATACAAAATATATACACGGAGGTGAAGTAAACAAATATGGCTAATTGCTAGTTTACAGGAATAGGCTAATTGCTAATTTACAGAAATACAACAATAGATCCTAAATAAAAGGAAGATTAAAACTAAATAACAAAAATATAATTATCTTCTAGAATCATCGTTTATAATTCCATAAATGAGTTCTCATCTTCACTCATGCGTGTCCAGGGGCGTAGGCATGTAGAGGCATGAGTGGGCCTTGGCCCACCCTATATATATATATATATATATATATATATATATATATATATATATATATATATATATATATATATATATATATATATATATATATATATACATATCAGTGAAATTGAAGCAAAATTTAGGGCATGCCCACTTCCTCAAAAATACTCAAAGCACAAATTCTTTTGCCGGCAATATCATCGATTGATACTATAATTTTGGAGAAGATACCAACATTGTTCCTTTGGCACTTTAATTTCTTCAGATTCGTATTTTTTTTGTTAGTTAATTAAAGAGTTATCTATTTTATGTATTTCTTATATAGTTTTTAATTGAAATAGTTCTTACCAATTTAACATTGAGATTTATGTTGATTTTACATTTTTATCATATATTCGTATGTATTTTATAGATTATGTGGTTAATTGTTGCTATGAATTAAGTATTTGAATGATTGTATTATGTTTTTTTATTGTATTACATATAAGTTTGTTTTGTATTAGAATATCAAATTATGTTTGTAACTGAATTTCGTTACGAATGGGAACAAACCAAAAAGGATTAGGTTCATTTTTCACTGGTAATGTTTTATTAAGAGGCGAAAATTGCGAAAATATTTCTTTTAAAATGCATATATTGTTACATTTTGTTATCATTTGAAGTATTTTACTACTCGTTTATATTTTATAGTTTATTTGGCCTGCCCTAAAAGAAAATCCTGGCTACGCCACTGTGCGTGTCACTTTTTTGTTGTGGCAACATTGTGAGTTGTGACATTATTTTTGGCCATGAAACCGGTTGGTCTTATTATTAGGCAAAAAAATGTTTTTTATTCTCATTTACATGTTGTAATCAACTAATCCTTGTGTCCCAAAAAAAAAATACAAGCGCTTAAGTTGTCCAGAAAATGCATCAATTTCCTTTGTAAAAAACATCCCCCTCAAATTCCAAATCTTTTATATTGACAATTCACAATCAATATAAAACATTAACAAAGGTATTTTACCATTAAATATCATAGCTTGAAAAATGTACATGATTATAGCAATAAAAATTATTTTATATTTGAATCACATTGCTATATCTGGATAGATTTTTCAAAACACAATGCTATTTTTCTCTTAAGCTAGCCTACATCCTACATAGCCATGTCTCATTATAGTATCATATGACATGTAAATTAGGAATATAGCAACCGACTCGGTGGCTGACATAAACAAAGTACAATGTTGTAATATGAATAAATGAAAGTAGGAAGTTGTAATATACAAATCAACAAAAGTATTTTCTATTTCTTGTATTTAACCTTTATAATCATACATATCATATCTACGTTCATTATACTGCAAAATTCACATGAAAGTATGTTGCTATTTCTCATTTGAAGACGATATCAGGATTCCTTACATATAAGCTCATTCCCGACAATTCTTTCCACTTAGAAACTTCACCATGAACATAAGAAGAAACACTCCACAATGTTTCTTCATGCTTCATGTTCATAGATCTTATAGACGATTTCACTAAAGCATTTGATTTGGAAAATTGATGCCTTTTCATCTTTCCTGTCATCCCACTAGAATGCAACCACCTGGACCCCGATTGGTTCTTTTGAAGATCAACTCTAAACCCCGTGACATGAACCTCATTGATTTTAAACACGGGTTTGATTGTGGTCTCGGTTTGAACCCGCTCAACATGAATTAATGCAAACATTGGAATGCCAACGGGTTCGTAATCTCGGAACGGGTCTCTGAGTAATAACCGTAAAGCTAACGTGAAATTACTAAAATGCCCATGATTTTCCGACCTTAGACACTCGTCCAATGATACAGACATGGCTAATAGTTCTTCGATGTCAGGTTTGCTTGTTGAATCCGAGTTGACAGAGATGCTCGAGGGAGGTTCTTCAGATGGGATACCGGATTGGATTCTTAATCCCTCGATTAAGAGGTATTGAATCTTTTCAATTGCTGAAGGGGCAATTTCGTCCACTGAAACATATTCTGAATTGATCTCGTGGCAAATGAGATCTGATTCGGGAAGTAATTCATGCCTCCTGCTTAAAATATTTCATTCGTAAAGGAATTTGTTTGTTCCACATACGACAAAAACCGCAATTTATTTTCCCACACAAAAAGGTATTACAAGGTGGAACAGAGACTCACTCTCGATCTTGATCTCGATCTCTTGTCTGTGCAAAAGACGAAAATGCCCTCCTCGTCCTCGTCATCAAAAAATAGTCATAGAAAACTTGTTTAGTCCTGTCCAGTTCAATTTAGTTCCATCCTACACATGCAGCCGAAGGCTGCATGTGTTACAACTGGATTGGACTGGACAGGACTAAACAAGCTTTCTAGGACTATTTTTGATGATGAGGACGAGGAGGGCATTTTCGTCTTTTGCACAGACAAGAGATCGAGATCAAGATCGAGAGTGAATCTCTGTTCCACCTTGTAATACCTTTTTTGGTGGGAAAATAAATTGTGGTTTTTGTCTGGTTGACATCGGTCTCAGTGTCAGTACAAGGTTGTTTATTAAAACCGACATTAAAGGATTTAACAAAAAAATAAAGAATATGAAATGATGTTTTATCAGCTATAACTTGATTTAAATAAATCGACTAACCTCTCAAGCACCTCCATTTCCAATTCTTGCAATCTCCTCCCTGTAATTTCTTCCATGGGCATCAAACGAGCAGCCTGGATAATCATCTTTTCACCACCAACTGCTGCCCATTTCCGCATTATATCCAAACCATTAGACCCCATTGCCATAGGCAACACAACTGAGCTAGAAACTTGCACAATCAATCTTTCACCATTTTTAGCTCTTCTAAAAACCAAAGGACTGATAGATCTCAAAAACCCACAATTTCCCATCTTCAAAAACGAACCCAAACCACCTCCAATAGGCGGCAACTCCGGCAGCCTTTCCGGCGAACAATAAACCGGACTCCCAAACGCACCCGAATTCGTTCTTGGAGAATTTTGAAACGCCCTCTCGTTTAATCCCCATTCCTCCATTAAAGCTTCGGTTTCTAAGTTCTCAAGCATTTTAGCTTTCCTTCTACTTATCAAAGACTCCCCCACCCTGGGCCCCACCACTTCCACTTCATCAATTTCTTGGAATAGAAAAGATGAATTGAAAACATTTGAAGTGTCTCTTTCCTCTTCTTCAACATCGAGATCAAAGTCGAAGTTTTTAGCGACAATTTGAGTTTCGTTCTCAAACTGTCGCAAAAGACGCTCTCTTGGAGACTCTGGCTCACTATCGGAACCAAGAAAGTTCATGAAATCATTAACGACAGTTTTTGTTAAGTCATCTAAGCTACGTGATCTCACAATTTCACTTCTTGAATTGTTTTCAAGAAATGGGTTTTTTTGAAATGAAAAATCCAATTCGGGTGATTCTGTTGAGAGATTTTGCAAAAATAATTCGAGTTCTTCAAGATTATCATCAAGATTTTCATAAAGAAAAGTCTCGGTTTCCAAATTACCACTTATTTTATCGTTATCTTCATCAATCGCAAATAATTCAGAAACATCAATTGTCTCTATACAAGAATTCTCAACAAATTCAACATTATCTTGATCTTTTTGAGCAAATTCAACACCTTTATCAATGAATGTAAACTCCTCATCATAAACATCATTTAAAGAACTCGGTTTCGGATCATCAAGTAACTCATAAAGTAAAGAAATCGAAGGCCCAGATTTCATATTGAAAGATAAACTTGATGCGTGGGTCCTACGCCTCGAGTTACTCGGAATGCTTTTGACTCTTTGAAGCATTCCATTATAACTCGTCCCATTTCCTCTATCTTGAATCTTACCAAGATTCTCACTTCCTTTATATGGAATCATTCGAAGATTCCCGTTTCCTTTATCGGGAATCTTTCCAAGATTCCCAGATAAAGAAAACCCAAAACTAACATTTATTATCGCGCCTTTTGCCTTACCCATAAGCTTAAAACTCGTTTTCCACTTTCCATTTCGGTTCTTTTCTTCTTCTAACTCCATTAAAGTTAGTGGAAGCAACCTTGTTAAATCGATCCAATGCTTCCCAAGATCTAAACTTGGAGCCCCAACTACTGAAACATAGAGTAAAGAAAGCTTAGGTTCATATTTAGCTACATTATCATGATCTGTTTTACCTATATATATTGAGCATTGATGACTCAATGTCTCTTCAAACCCTGCAACACCTTCTTTAACATGTTTTGAACGAGTTTTTAAAACCTCATGTTTTCTTTTCCAACAGACACATAAGCTAAGATCATTGAAGTTTAATGGCAATCCTTCTATGGAATGGACATGGAGAAAGAAAGAAGTTAATCTATGATTTCGGATATGAGTTAGGGCTTTTAAAGGCTTCCATTTCCATATAGAAGATTTCTTCTGATTTGATAAGATATCGTCATTTACATACTTTGATTTTCTTGGGGTTTGATCTATTGAAGGCTTTGGTGGGTCATGTAGATATAGGGCTTTGCTTATTTCTTCAATATCGTGCAATAGCCTTGAACTTCCAAAGTCATCAATGGTTATCTTTGAAGATTCCTCATTTGGCACCATCATTATCTTCACATAAATTCAACAACAATATCAATTTAAAAAGCTAGTTTTGATATCTTTAGAATTATGTTAATGAAGCATGCTAGAAATTTAAGCACCAAAAGAAGCTGATAACCACACTAAACAAACAAAGAAACTACAGTTCAAAGGCACTGAAAATGTAATGAAAATTAGGGTATACTTTCATCTTTTATAAGAGGGTGTTTGAATCAGCATTTTCAAAATGATTATTCCAACTTGAAGAATCAAAATCAGATAATTAAGTGCTTGAAGTTGCGATAGTTAGGTAAATCTACATTCAAATTTGCTAAAAGTACACATCCGAAACCCCCATAATTTGCTACAGAATCCGATTAGCTAAATAGTCACCTGAAGTCTGAACCCTCCTGGTTTTCTACCCTTTCATTCCTAAAAGAAGCTACATTTCATTCAAATAATCCGACATGAATCTCTCTAACTTTACCCTTACATAGATAAACCACAAATATCATCAAATATACGATTAGATGGGGTTTCCATCAACAATAACAGATAAGAACTCGCAAAGGAACAAAAGATAGATCAAATCATTCAATTTCGAAGTTATTTATGATTATCGCTTCTCGATTCGATTTCGTTTTGCAAAAGCTCATACGAAAAGATATAGCAGATGAAAACCTACTGCAAATCACTGGAATATATACAAGCAGTATGGGAGTTTTGAATTAGTTGTTAAGCTAACTTACCACGGTTGGAGGAGCTTGAAGCAACAGAAGAGAAAGAGGAATGGTGTGAAAAACGATGGATACAGTTGGGATTTAGGCATATGAACCTATCAGGTCACCTCTCCCTTTCCGACTTTTTTCGAGGGTTTCTGGTCTGAGATATTAATTTTGTCTTTATAGTCCTTATTTTGTGCCTTTTAAAATTTATTCCATCTAAATATCCACATGTTTTGAAAAGGTTTTTCAATTCTTCAATATCTTAAATAAATGTCAAAAACTTGTTTCCATAGCAAACTTGTATATTTATTAGGTGATAGACTCGTCTGAACACCGGCATGAATATTCGACATACATATATTTATATATCTTATATATAGGTATATGATTGAAATTAAAGTCAAGAAATTATAAGACATACGAAACACAAATATTTATCTTTATACCGTATGTTGTGAGATATACTCAAACGTCATTAACCCAATCTTATTGACAAATATCGTATTTACAAACCTTGAAGTACTTTATTGACATAAAACAACATATTTTATTTATTTATATTCAAACGTAAAAACTTAAATACATATTAAAACATTATATTATTTAAAAATAAATAAATAAATGCATCAAGATGTTTTTTTTCTTCTTCAAAACATCCTAATACATCATCTATAGACTTAATAAGAACATTGTCAATACAGTTTTGTTTTATAATAGAATGTTATTGTTAATTTCATGACCTTAGAATGTGTTTTATCCTTCATTTACCTTAAGTTGTTCCATTTCTTTTCTATGTTGCCTAGATTGAAGTAAAGTGTTGCTATCTATCATCAACCCGGTGTGGTGCATCTGTTTCTCATTATAGTATTCCAAAAACAAAGTCATGTTGTGTTTGGAGTCTTTCTCAGGAATTATATTAGTTAACATATGGAAAGAAGAATGAAAAGACAGAGGGGGGGGAGGAAGAGGACACAAAAGAAAGATGAAAATGGTAAAACAACGGCTAGAACGAATGGATGTAAAAGGGGTAAGAAAAAACAGTTTAAACAGCAGATGGTTCTTAAAGCAACCCAAAGGTCACATATTAAGTAAATGTTTCATATAAATAGTAGTTAAGGCTTCTTATAATTGCATTCAATCAACATGTTTACACTCTCGAAGCGTGTAGACACCAAAGCGTCTCATACAAACCTAGAAATTGTGGATACCATGTACCTTTTCTTGTATAAAGTTACGATTAGCATACACTATCACTTACATGTCCCTAAAATTGAATTGCTACAAATCCAGTTAACAATAACATATCCACTGGTGGCAACTTTAATCCTTTGTAATAGAATTGAACTGGAGAGAGAAATTCAACATGCTTTGGAGATGGATTGTGAAAGTATAAAAATGGTGCAAGACACATTGGGCGTAATACACGTAGTTCGATAATAGAAAATAACAATACTCTTAGATATTACTACCTCCCCTAATTTTGTAGAATGCACACTCATCATAAGCAACCCTTGGAGTTTGTCGAGACTGATTAGAGGAAACAACAAGAACAGCAGGAGTGGAAGTAGGAATGGAGGTTGCTTTAAACCCTTTTATCTGCGTGAGACTTGATACGAGTTTCTTCAGCAATCAACTCATGAACAACAGGATCCACTGAGGGAAAGGGGAGCGATGAAGAATCGTTCCACGTAGACCTTCAAAATTAAAACGCAACGCCATCAAAAACTAGACCAAACATTGTTCTTCCTTCCTAACAATATAAGGCTCAAAATCTTTTAACTCTTTAGATTCAGTAAGAGTCAATTGATCCCACAAATCAGACATAACAACATAGAAATCTTGAATACTCTGGTCATTTTGTTGAAGATCATGAATATTATATTCCAACTGATATTGTTTAGCAAAGTTGGATTGAGTATACAAGCTCTTTAAGTGATTCTAAACTTTCTTTGTTGTGTCATATTTAGCCAACTGCATATCAATAGACTGTGTATCAGAATTGTTAATCCAAGTAATGACCTTGGAGTTATCAGTCTCCCAAGCATCAAACAACAAATCGAAATTCTCAGCTTGAGGCACTGAAGGTTTGGCTTTAGTCCCAGTGACATAACCCCATATATTCTTCCCACGAAGGAAGTTGTTCATAACATAACTCCAATATGTATAATTCTTTCCATCTAGTCGAGTACTGATTATGTAACGCCCGTGTTTCTAGGCTAGGCATTAATATTGACGTAATAGTCTAGGTTAACCTTTGTAACTCATTTTGAAGAAATGAAAAGGAATTATGTGAATATTATGTGAAAATTATGTGTTTTATGCTTAATTATTAGGATTTAATTAATTAGAAATAAAAATGAACGCCGAAAATAAATATTAGATAAAGTCGATATCTATTAAGAAAGTTGTAGTGGTTGTGACAAGGATTCCGGATATATAAAGAATACCGAAATCCGAGTTATAACGAAGAAGTTATGACCTGTCGAAGTTCTGCGACAAAACCGGTATGGTGTCGAATGACGTAAAAAGTGAGTTTTTGATAAACTACTTTTTAGCCTTAGTGATCTAAACGAAAGTCGTAGTGTTCGTTAAACCGAGAGTATGTATAAAAAGAACGTCCAAATCTGACTTCGTATGAGGAAGTTATGATTTTTCTAAGTTTCAGCTTAGCAGTAGACAGCTAAAAACTCGAATTTTAGATCGAGTGATTTTTAGCCGACACAACCTAAACGAGAATCGAAGGTCTCGTCAATAGTAGTACAACGGTAAAAAGACAGACAAAAACGGACGTCGGATGAAGAAGTTATGAATTTTTAACGGATTTCGTATCCTAGTCTGTTAAAAATAATAATATTAAAATTAAAGTCAAAATTAGCCGACGAAGTCTAAATGAAAGTTGTAGAGCGTAATTTTACCTACGCGTGCATATAAAGAACGTCAAAAACGGAGCCCGTATGCAAAAATTATGGATTTTAGAAGTTTTGGCACAAAAATCAAGAAAAAAACATGAAATCCGAAAAATTTCGCATAGTCATGCTTCGACCACGTCACCCTCGCTCGTAGCATGCCACGTGTCCGAAAATGCTGAGTAACCGAGGCCAGCTGGCGAGGCGTGTCGCATTCCCTCGCATCCGAAGTGCTGGTCCAACCGCGGTCCGACGCGTGCCTTCTTGACGTGTCCGAGCTTCGCATGGTGCGCCACGACCCAACCCTCGGACCCTAGACCTCGGTCCAATCAGAAGCCAACAGCTGGACCCTCGCACGTGCGAGCCATCTGCCTGACCTTCGCATCTGCTGCCGCGTGGAGTCTTCTCAGCCCTCGGATCAGAAGCCTCGCCCCTATAAATAGAAGGGTGCGAGACCTCCCGAGTATATTTTGGAAAAGTGTCAATTTTCACCCCTTAAACAATATTTCTTTCATTCCAACTTACCCTAAAGCCCCGATATCATACCAAACACCCGAAACACATCCCGAAGTGCCCGAGAAGCCCGAGAAATTTATCTTTTCGGTTTGAAGCTCCACCCTCGCAGAGCCCGGTTTCTCAATAAAACTCTCGGTTTTATTAGAAACGATTGTTTTAGGAAACGAAGTGTTGCCCGATTATCATTAAATCAAGTGAGTGTATAGTCACTTTCATCTTACACATACATATGAAGTATTTTATATAAAATACGTGCTCTGTGAATATATATTGTTTCTTTATTTGAGATGGATGTTGAAGGAATGATTTATACAGGTTTTTAAATAATTTAAACTGTATATGTATTTTTTTTTTATCTACAAAAATGTTGGGTAAAAGATGGGTAGATGAAATAGTTGGTATGTGATGAAAGATGAGTTGGATAAATGAAATGATCGGTGATATAGATCATGAGATGAGGGTGAATGGTGAAATATGAGAAAAGCACTTACCCAAACGTTGGCCCCTGTCATTCAGCAGAGTATGGATGACAACCATGGACTATTCTAGATGATCTGTGGAACACTAGAAGGCGTGCAACCTGTAAGTGTGTGAACTATATGTTCATCAGTCGTACTCTAAAAACCTATTGACATGTATTGCAGGGAGATTCCTATGAATAATACTGTCAATAAATAAGAGCTATGGACTTAGCACATGTTGTATAAACCCTGGCAGCTATGGACTTAGTGCCTGTTGTATAAACCCTAGCGACGATGTGACTTCGTGCCTATTCCTTAGGATGAATCCTTAGGAATAAGTGATAGTTGATTCTTAGGGTAAATCCTTAAGAAATAAATAAGATAATGGGGTTGGGGTAATTTGGTTGATTGTTTGATGTTTAAGCATAATAAATTTATTTATTGTGGGTTGAAAACCCTATATGCTCACCAGGCTCCCAAGCCTGACCCACTCAGCTTTTTATATTACAGGTAGTGGACCCCGAGCATAGTCGGATGATGATGAGTGATTTTTGGATTATAGGCCAGTAGTTGTAAATAACTGTTGTAAGGCTTATAATGTCTTGTTTATGCTTTTGATCTGTATCGAAACATGACATCCCGAGGTTTTGATATGAAATGAAAATATATATTTCTTTAAGAAAGGTTTTGATAAATTTTTATCATGTTTTGTTTTGGGAACAAATTCCGCAACATCTTTTAAAAGGATTACTCTGATTTTATTTTAAAAAGCATAAAATAAATCGGTCTTTTCTGGCCGAGAAATTAGGGGATGTCACAGTTGGTATCAGAGCATTAGTTTAAGCGAATTAGGAATTTATAGGATTTCTAGACTTAAACTTAGAATGCTAAGTGATGATTGTGAGATGAGTGTCTACCATATTTTAGACACGAGCACTAGTCTATTTTAGGAAAGATGGCTAAAATGCTTTTATGTGCTAAATGCTATATGTTTGCCATATATGCCATTATTTGTTCGGATCCATGGTCTGTTGCCGACCGGATCTGGAAACCTTATGTGTGTAGGATTCTAAACGTATGACTACGATATTAGAACTAACATATAAACGTTTCAGAGTAATAACGAAGATTTAACGTCTATCAAAAATAAAGATCTAAATTCACCTACGATTGGTTTATAGATCGAAATGGCGAGTACTCAAAGTGGATTCGGAAACGGTAATCCGTAGCCTGAGCCAATCACGATGGCTGGGGTACAGGCAATGGTGCGTACGATGTTGGATCAACAGATGGAAGAGACAAAACGTTTACTTCAACAAAGTAAGGACGAACTTACTGTGCCAGTACGTCAGGCATCTGCTCTTGAGGCAACTATCTGGGTTGCTAAGTCTATTGAAGAAATGATCAATGACAGGACCGCCAACAAGGTTGAAGTTGGCAAGAAGAGGAAATTTGAGGAGTCTTCAAGGTCCAACAAGAGCAACACGTTCTCAAAGTCTGGCAAAAGAGGAGGAGGCGAAGCAAAATGGTACGAAAAGTGAAAAAAGAAGCACTTCGGGAAATGTAGCGAAGAGGTGACCTGCTACAAGTATGGGAAGACTGGGCATTATGCCAACAAGTGTCCGTCCAACAAGAGGATGTGCTATGGATGTAACAAGGAA